GTCACCCAGTGGGTTTCATGGCTCAGCCGGGATTTGAACCCTGATCTCCAGAGTCATAATCCAGTACTCAAATCACTACACCACACTGCCTCCCTGCCTACACACACACACACACACATATATATTTTTTGGCAAAGAAGCCAACAATTATTTATTTATTTAATATTTGCCTTGCCTTTCTCCAAACACAGGATCCAGGAGGCATGCAGTGCTTTCAAAGCACAATACAATTTAATAAACTCTTAATACAAAAGTTAAAGCACAATCTACAGTTCTATTTAATAAAACACGAATTAAAGACAACATCAAAAGCAAGTTTAAAATAGCATTAAAAACATTTTAAAAGATTTATTTATTTATGTATTTATTTTAGTATGCCACTTTTCTTCTTAATTGGACCCAAGGTGGCTCACAAAACCAAAAGAATAAAAACATTACCCCATCCCCCATTAAAACCTTTATCCATTGCAACACATACAAAAATAATAATGGAAAACCTCCTAAAATAAAATGGTCTTTAACTGCTGGCAGAAAGACAGCAAGGATAGGGAGTGATGTCCCTTCTACCTTATTCTATACCCAAAGAAGGAATGCCCTCAAGCATACCCTTTTCTAAGAATAGGAATAGGAATATTCAAATCAAGGAATGGAAACCTGTCTTAACAAATTCGGGGGTCCATATATTAACTTGTTCAGAAATCCCATTGATTCACTATCATGTTCCTGGCATTTGCACCAAAATTGATTTTTTAAAAGCCTCCGTCCCAACAACCTCTAAAGGAGATTATGCGACATGCTCTCTAATCAACAACAACTTCAAAAAGGCTTAGAGCTCAAATGTAACCAGTAGGGAACCTTCACAAAAGCCTGCTTTCATGCAGGAAACAAATAGGGTGTTTGGGTTGTCATGCTAGGGGGTGGATTGGGGGCTTTGATAATTAAATTTTTGCAGCTTCTTGTGGTGACGATGGTGGTTTGCAAAGCCTGTAAAGCACAAGGATTCTCTTTACTGTGTACAGAAGCATAGATCAGACTGTTTGCACAGGATGACAGCCTCTGAACTTGCGTCAACCTCCGATTCGACAATGTCTTCAAGGGGTGAACAAGGCATTGGAGTGAGATGGGAGGGAGGGACTCTGAATCTCTGCTCTCTCTGATGCTGTTATGTCATCTTTCGGTCATGTAAAGAAAGACTGGCAAGACCTATTCTTTCATGAGCAGAGTTCATAGCCCTTTGGAAATACATTGGCTGACGATCTATATTGTGCAAATCTACAGTGCAAATCTACAGTCATGTAGTTTCACAGTGTTCACTTTTCTGTTGAACAGCATTGTGCAACTGTTTGTGGATCTGATAGTATGACTGCTTCTTCTCCCATTGTGCACTGGGGAATGCACAGTGGCTGTCCCTGCAATCCAGTGAATCAGGTGGTAATCTGAAGGCATTGGTAGGAATAGCTATGCAGCAAGAATGCACAACTGCATGGCTGGAAGCCTACTGGTTAGTACCAATTAGATTAAACCCACTGAGTCAATCATTAAATGGTTAATCAACACATAAGTCAATTCAATTGATTCCATGGCTCTCTTCTAGTTAAGGACTGACAATAGGATTTAGGCCCATGTGAAATAGTTACACTTGTGGAGCTCTGTTCGCACAACCATGAACTAAATATATCCAATGCACATTGAGCACTGGCCTATGACACTGGAGATGAGGGTTCAAATCCCTATTCAGCCATGGAAACTCAGTAGGTGACTTTTGGAAGTCACACTCTCTCGGCATCAGAGGAAGGCAATGGCAAACCTGCCAAACAAGTCTTGCCAAGAAAACCCCATGATAGGGTTGCCTTAGGGTCACCATAAGTTGGAAAATACAACTGGACAGTACAGTGGCCAAAACAATACAACCAGACATAAACATGGGTATGACACCAACAGGCTTCTTTCCATTATCCCTGTGTAAATGGCCCCTGAGTGAATAGATTCACACATTAAACTGGAATAAATCAACTGAATCAATTGCTGAATGGCAAGTCAACATATAAGTAAATCCTGCTGATTCAACTGGATGTAGTCTGGATCTAAGTCCTGGTGTGTAGAATCTATCCTGGTGTGTAGGGGACCTTTGCAAAAGGTTCATTGTGGCTTCTTGGGTATATATGCACACTTATCATTTCACAAGAAAAGAGATTCCACCTAAGCATTAGGAAGAACTTCTTGATGGTAAGAGCTGTTCAATAGTAGAATGCATTGCCTCAGAGAGTAGTGGAATCACCTATTTTGGAAGTTTTTAAACAGAGGCTGGATGGCCATCTGTCAAAAGGGAGTGGTTTGATTATGTCTTCCTCTATGACAAAATGGGGTTGACTGGATGGCCTTTGGGGTTTTCTTCCAGATCTATGATCCTGTGATTCTATCTCTAGTGGAAGCCATGACCCTGAACTCAGTAATTTTAAAGGGTGTATCCATGGTGTTGAACCAATTGGAGAGGATAATGTTTACCACCTTGGATGCTCCACATACATAGGAATTGTGGTGGCCTGTAACACTCATGCCAGAGCATGGTGAATCTGCTGTTTTAGTCTGCCTTAAAATCAGAGGAGAATCTTAAAGATACTGACATCAGAGACAGAAGAGTCATACAGTTGGAAGAGACCCCAATAACTATCCAGCCCAACCTTTGCCATGCAGGAAAACACAATCAAAGCATTCTTAACAGATGGCCCTCCAGCCATGTATATCACAAATGTAAATGTGAATTTTGAAAAAGTGATGTTCTGTGGAATGAACTGCAGAGATCCAAACAACACATGGTTTGATAAAGCCTGAGCTTACACTGGTGGATGAGCTTTTTCTGGTGGAGAGCTTCTTCCTGTGAACATACTGCTTCTTACTCTGTTTTTATCTACAGAATGGGTAAATGTCCCTTCTCTTCTTGCACAGTTTTAAAGGGATAATATTCAAAATTCCTTTAAGATGGCCAAGATACTCTGGAAGCAGTCTTCCATTCTGATTCTGGGTAGCCCAGACTATCCTGGCAGCTGAGCTTTCCTGACCTGCCCCCATTATTTCGGCCCTCCATTTTGACACTTGGTGGCTATTGGCACACAGGTCCCACTGTGCTGCCTGGCACAGCCACTACCATGGGGAGTTGCTCACTTCTGAGGTTAGACAAAGGCACCCAGCCTTGATCACATGGTGAAGCACCTCATTCTGAGAAAAGGAACCTGTGGTGTCCCCCATGCCAGGTAGCAGAGCAGGAGGGATTTTAAACAGCTGCCCCATCTTAGTTGCTTCCCATCTTTTGGGAAGCAACTGGTGAGTTCTTGAAGTCCATGTTAATAGCATTGTACCTTGGGTTTGGAAGTGAATGGCCTGGATGTCTCCCAGACTTTGTGCACCAGACTCTGGGACTGAGCCCTGCATTGTTTGAACTCTCCTCCCAGAAGATAGGAGAGGCTTGATTTATTTGGCCCATGCAGATAGGGCCAGTGCCATGTTATTTCTCCATTTTCTCTCCTATGTGCTAAAAAGACCTTTTTAAAAACTTTCAACCTCTCTTATATTTCTTACCTTTTACTGCTGCAATTGGCATAAGCAGTCTTTAAAACTGGCATTCCAAATTCAGTCTGGCAGTGGGCTCTTAACCTGTGGGTTTCAACCATCACAAATTCCGATAGAGCTGTTTCTTTGGTTATTTGCCATTATTCCCCTCATTTGTATTTGCAGGCTCTCAAAATGAGCATATGTTCTGGTTACCTAGTGATTTGTAAGCTGCCTCTGGATTTTTCAGACAAGGCATGCTATACGTTTCATTTATCCTCTCTGTGATGACACTGCCAATGTTTGTAATGGCCTGCAGCATAAATGAATTTTCCTTGCTTGATCTCCAAACTGGGATATACCTGGTAGGCATATACAAGGCACATTGAACAAGGGAGGATATGCAGCATAATGCCTGGTAGATATAGTACAAAGTGCAGTGGCCAAACTGTTATCAGGAGTGCATTTTAGATACCACATATCACCAATTTTAGAAGGAGTGCATTGGCTCCCTATTTGCTTCTAAACTCAATTCAAGGTGCTCGTTTTGATTTATAAAATGCCTAACCAGCTTGGGAACAGGATATCTGGAAGACTGTTTCCTCCTATATAACCCTGCCTGAAATCTAAGATCATCCCAGGAGACCCTGTTACATGTTCCACCAGCCCATGAGACTAGGCTGGTAAGTACAGGGCTTTCTCTGTAGCTGCACTCCAACTATGGAACTCAACCTGCAGGAAGGCCAGGCTGGTTCTATCCTTGTAGATTTCTGACATACCTTGAAGGTCCTGTCTGCATGAGCCAGAAGAAACACCTTTCCCCCATCCTCTGGGGGGGGGGGGGAGTCTGGATGACACATGTCCCAATCCAAGGTTCTGGTATGAATAGTCCAGCCAGATCAGTATCAGAACCAGGGTATACCTCCTTGAAAACAAATTTTCAAAATGTACTCCAGATCTTCCCAGAGGATTTGGAGCCTTCCGTTCTGATGCCAGGTGGCTTTGTGCAATACAATGCATCCTCAATGTGTGGGATGTGGTGGCTCAGTGTTTAAGATGCTGACTCTGACCATTGCAAGATCAACAGGTTGGCAGTTCAAGGCCCAAGCCCCATGTGACAGAATGAACTCCCATCATTAATCCCAGCTTCTGTCAACCTAGCAGTTCGAAAGCATGTAAAAGTGCAAGTAGATAAATAGGTATCACTTGGGTGGGAAGGTAATAATGTTTTGTGCAGTCATGCTGGCCACATGATCACAGAGCCATCTTTGAGAATGCTGGATCTTCAATTTAGAAACAGAGATGAGCACCATCTCCTACAGTCAGACAGATATATAAATTAAGCTTATGTTTACTTTCCGTGGCCAATTACAAGACAAAGTATAGTAAGCAACATAGGTTAGCGAGAAAAAACACATGCTGTGAAAGATAGGTTTTGCAATATCTCTGCCAAAAAATAAGAAAATAATAATTTATGTTTGATAAAACATGTTTTACCCTAAATATAAAAATGTGAATGGTGAAGGTCTTATGTAGTCTCCATT